GTTACCATACATAGGAAGAATTTTACTTTTGATTGACTGCAACTATGTGACTATGTGCTTTCTATGCACCGCCACAAAGTAAGCAGAGGTTTTGTGTTAGGGTCAGAATTATGTTCACAGTTTCACCGTTTGGAATTGGATGCCTTAGGATTCTTTTGCCCCTTACGATTATTTGATTTAAACAGTGAAATAACATAGCATATGCTGGTTGGACCTTCAAAAGCTGAAAGAGGAAGTGATCTGTTTTTGAAAAGTTTTGTTTGCTTTACATACCCATTTATTTGGTAAAGCAAAGATCAAACCAGTGGAACTCCTTGGGTTCTTTTGCTCTGTTGCTTACAAACAGGAGCATGTGGACTAATCCTTTATGGAAGATACACTTAAATAATTCCAAGGATGTGGGGTGAACAAACTGGATAAGGAATTCTTCCCTGTCTTGGGTACTAAGAATCATAGATGGTTTTCATATTAAGTGCAGATATCAAGTTAATGGTATTCTTTTATGCTAATTTTACTTCACAATTTCAGTTTCAGTTTGGGGCCAGTCTCCAGAAAACGTAAATATTAAGAAGGGAAATATATATAATTTTTGTCACCGTCTAATACTTTGATAATGCTGCTACAGTATGCTTTGGATATGTCTTCTTTTTTATTAACACAGTTGACTGAAAATTATTCTGCATCTGGGTCTTGATCACTTCGGGATAAGTGTTATTTCTGTCACTGAAATATAATTGAATTTTGGTGCATGAATTTTGAATGTTAAATTGAAAGTATTTTACTTAGAAGATAACCCCAGCAGGCCTGTAGCATCAGCATTTGAAAAGACAAGATTCTGTAATTTCTTTGTTTATCAAAATACCTTGCACAGTGAATATAATAAAGGACAGTTAATTACAAATGGTTTTATCTAACTTTTTTAATTACTGATTTAATGATATTATATTCTCTTGGGCTTTTTTGCTCAAACTTGAATTTATTTTAGAGAATCAGAGCCATGTATTCCAGTCTCGGAGAACTCGAGATTTTGTTGTGCTTGGAACTTGGTAAATGCCTGTAGGAAGGACTGCCCAAGCCCCTGTTCAAGTGACAGTCATAGAATCATAGAATATCTCAAGTGGGAAGTGACCCATAAGGATCATCCTGTACAGAAACAATCAGAAAGGGAGGGTGATGGGTCACACAACCTCATGGTGTCTGAATAGCACCCTCTGAGAAGAGTTCAGAACTTATGCAGGTTCAAGTACGTGCTGACTGCAATTCAGATCCGAGGACAGCTTATTAAAAAGCTGAAGTTGAGAGTAGTGTTTTTTACTTGCCTGAGGAGAGTGGTTGATAGGCTGGACAGGGCTGCTACTCGGAGGGATCTTGACAGGATGGAGAAATGGGCTGACAGGAACCTCATAAATTCCAGCAAAGGCAAGGAGGAAGCCCTGCATCTGGGATGGAATAGCCCAATGACCAGTACAGGCTGGGGGAAGACTTGATGAAGAGCAGCATTGCGAAATGGGACCTGGGTGTCCTGGTAGACCACATGTTGAATATGAGTCTGTGCCGTTGCAGCAAAGAGGGACAACCGCGTTGAGGCCCATGTTAGTAATTGTGGCTGAGGGACAGCATGTCGAAGGAGTGAGTCTTATCCTCTGTTCGGCACTTGTGAGACTAGCAAGGCGGTTAGGGGGCTGGAGCACATGATATTCAAGGGGAAACTGAGAGAGGTGGGTTTGTTCAGCCTTAAGAAGAGAAGGTGAAGGAAGGGGAGATCTTGCTGCTGTGTGTGAGAAGATACAGAGCCAGACTCCTCTTAAAGGTGCCTGACAATGGGATGAGAGGCAATGGACACAAGCTGGTTTAGCTACAACAAAAGTCTTTGGTTTTGTTTGTTTTTAACCTGGAGAATGGTCAAACACTGAAGGAGGGGTCTAGTGAGTGTGTGGAGCATCCATCCATGGAGGTGTTAGAACTTGACCGGACAAGGGCCTGTGCAACCACATCTAATTCAGCTTGTGCTGGATGGCATATGAAAATCCCTCCCAACCTAAACTGTCCTTGTTATTCTGTGATTACTCAAAAACCAGGCATTATAGCTTTGGAAATGAATTGTTAAAGTTATGCCTAGGAAAACACAAACCCAATAAAGTATGCAAGAAACCTTAGATTTCCTTGAAATTGCATCTGGAATGAACATGTGGTCATCACAAAAACTTGTAATGTTAATTTCATCTACCATATTATATGAACTTAAAAAAAGTAAGATGTTGCATATTTTCTTACTGGTAATTTATGGCTTGGAATTTTTGTTACAAAAGGTACTATACTGTTTGAGAGAACATTAAGCAGGAGACCTGATGAGAATGTGAGGAGTTTTTGTATTTCTTAGTTTCTCACACTTACTGTGAGTGAATTTTAGGCAGCAGTGCTTTAAAGAGACTCGTAGATACTGTCATGAAAGCTAGTTTACCATCTGAGAATTTTTAAAGAGAAGAAGATGACTATCCAGAGCCTTGCATGCAGCCAAATCTTTGAGTTTAAAACTGTTGCTTATTCAGATTACCTACTCAAGACATATGGCTGTTGGTTACATTAACTTTGCTTTCACAGTGGTCCAGTTCGTAAGTCATCTAAACTGTCAGTTTTGACTCTTATCAATCTTTAGATGTCATTAAAGGTTAAGGACAAAATTATGATGGATTTAGCTTAGCCTCTGCCATATTTGTTCAAAGACAGAATGGGCTGTGGGTTTCTGTGAGTTCATGTTGTGTGATAAGTTTGAAGAATTTGTGTCATCACTTCTTCAAGATGATTCAGTATTAAAGAAAATCATGACATGGCTACTAAATATCTTCAAGGAACCAATTTTTAATTAATTCTAGCCCATAAACTCATGGATTAGTGTATAAGCTGTCAGGAAATTAATGTGTATTCAAAGAGGAAGTACTGCAGTTTGAGTTTGGTGCTTTTTACCTTTTGCTCATTGCAAAAAAAGATCTGGTCTAGGCTCAGAATGGTGTTCAGCTGTGAGATACAAGTGGCTCTTTCAAATGTGTTAGGTACCATAGTGACCGAGGTATAATAAAAGAACCGATGTATTTTTTATTGTCTTGCATTTAAGCTATTGTTTTTAGAATGGTGGAAAGAGTAAATCAACATGAAAGGATTAAAGTTCTTTTTACATCCCGAAAAATGTGGGACCACCCACTGCATGTTTATTTGGAGATTTGGACAAAGACCCAGTAATATTGAATGCGTTGGGTTAGAAGGGAATTTGTAAGACTGCTTGATAGTATCTCTCTGTTATTTGAAGTGGGGATGATACAGCAATGACTGCAAAGTAGCAATGACTGCAAAGTCAATGGATGAAATATTTCCTTTTGAGGTTCTGAAAAAGGAAAAGGTGTATCAGTGGTAACTCTGCAGTGAAACCTTAAAGATTGACTTCCTCTAACTTGTTCTACTCTCAGTAAATGCTCAGTTTTCCACAGTTTTCGGTTTCTTTATTGGATGGGATAGATAAAGGAGAGTCTTCTCTTAGCATTCTCTTCTTCAGGAAAACACAACATTCTTTTATTTGCAACGGTGTTGGAAAAGGTGAGTAATCTGGGACTATGTTCCTCTAGAAACACAGCTTCCCTTTGCCAGAAGCACTTTCAGCTTTCTGACTGGCGTGATGGAAGATGCTTACCACTTGGCTCCTTTGAAGGTGCGGGAGATTAGTACATATCCTCCCTGCAGCCTACAAGTGAGGGCTGTGACTGAGCTTCGAGTGGTTCAGTCGAAGACCCAGTGCCATCAACTGGTGTCTGCCTTCAAGTTCTCTCTGCCTGCAGGGATCACAGGTCTCAGAAAAACCTCAACTTTCTCCCTCTGCACTTTCACACCATAGTTAGATGTGGGAAAAATAATGTCTAATTTCACTGTTTGGCTGTGTGAAAAATAGGAAAATTTTTTAACCTGTTACATTCTGCTGTGCCTAATCTGTACCAGGAGGATTATGCTAGTTTAATTATTTTAAAGTAGTTTGGTTCCTGGAGGAGGAGAATCAGGGAAAGCCCTCTGATGCAGTTGCTTTTGTAGTACTTTCATACAACCAAGGTAGCACATGTCTTTTTACTGACGCTTTTGACAAAACTTTCTCATACGTGTCTGCAATTCAACTTCAACTTCTTGTTTTTGTTAAAAATGAGTATACAGAAAGAAAATCTCATTTAAATAATTTCTGTTTATACAGTATTAAAACTACAAAATTATCTCACAATAATTTCTTCTTGCCCCGTGTGTGCATTCAGCATAATGGAATTCCTTTATATTACTCATATGCTCTGTAAATAAATGCTATTATATACAGTTCTACATATCTTTCTTTTAGAGAAGTGAAACTTCAAAGTTATGTTTTATGGGTATGCAGGGAACAGAATTCAGGCTGCTTGTGTACCAGTCCTGCAAATATTTCGGCAACCTGTTTAAAACCCCTTGTTACGTGATGCCTTAGTCATTTTCAGCAGGTGACAAATGAAACTTGGAGTGCAAATCTTGATTCAGGGGCTCTTATTCTTTCTAGGAAGCGGACTTCCAAAAATAATTTTATTTTGGTGTCTTTTCAGGACATGTTTTACAATTTTTAAGATGATTCAGAGTGTAAATTGGCAAAACTTGAACTCTCATCAAGCAAAGCATCTAATTGGAAGGTTTTTTCAAAGGCTTCCATCTATCATTATGCTGCAAAGCATGTTTGCATCTGCCTTAATTATTTAGCTGTTTTCTTTCTTAGTGTTAAGTTTTATCTATGAAAAATGATCCCCAAAGCCTGCAAATAAATGGAAATAATACATTTGAATGCAAATAGAGTATCCAGATTTTAAGTAGTTAATACTGCTCAAATGTGGTTTTGAAATAGATGTGATTATTGGAAAGACTGATTTACCCTATTTTGCTTTCTTTTAAAAAGTGATTTTAAATTACCGCATTTTTATAAGTCTGTAATTCTTTGGTTTTTAGGGGTTTCTACCTTGGTGAAGGTATACTGGACAAGTGTTTACCTGAAAGCTGCTTTTAGGATGTCTGAAGATGACGAAAAAGTTAAACTCCGTCGAATTGAGCCTGCCATTCAGAAATTCATTAAAGTGGCAATTCCAACAGATTTGGAAAGGTTAAGAAAACACCAAATAAATATTGAGAAGGTTAGTGGTCACTTTTTACTAATGTAGTTCTTTTTACAGTATAGAAGCAGTCACGCTGGAAGATTATATAGAGATTTCGATGAAAAGCTGATTATGAAATGCTTTAATTCAAATTTGGCTAAAAATGAAATTTCTATATTGTCTGGTAATTCAGAGTGTACAAAGGCCTTTAGATTTGTAGTAACTAGTCCATCTACAGAGTGAGAAACATTACTGTTCTGTGTTAAAAAGTTATTGTAAGGAAAGCAGCCTAATATTCTTACTTTATTTTTAAGTCACAGTGGTTTGCTGCCAACTATTCTGAGTAACTAACTGTTTATACCTATCTTTTTCTCTATATATTTTTAAACTGAGTTGAGAGAAATAGAAAGATTTAATTATTTAAGTAAATAGAAAAAGAATTGTATCAAAATTGTAGCATGTTTATATGCTTCTTGTTGACATTAGCTCACACTTGACAGTGAAACTGAATGTGCTTCCAAGTTAAATTCTTGCATACACTGTGGCAATGCCTGTACTGGTAAAATAAACATGCCCAGGACAGTTGTCTGGCATGAAGTGGCCTATGTCCATATTATTAAATCCTCATATTCTGCAAAACAGGGTGGCTGTATCCACGTTGCTGATGAGGAATAGCCTCTGTTCTGTGTTTATAACTCCTTAGCTGTTCTCAGGAACTCTTTATGCAAGAGAGCTGTTTGGCATGGCCAGGGACAGTTCTAACAATTTAACAGCACAGATGACCAGATTTCAGACGTGAAACATTCTCGATCTCTGTTTATTAGTATAGATATAGCCTGTGGAAACAGAGAAGATGGTTTGTTGAGGAGGGTGCTAAGAGATTTACTAAAACAGGTGACAGCAATAAAAAAAGGAAGAGAGTGAGTGACTCAGAAACACACTTACAGTCATAATATCAACATTGCGATGGAAGTTTTGAAATTACCATACCAGACATATTTGTTCAGAAAAGATTATACTTACCACCACAGAAGAATCGGTGACAGTGAGTGTCTGTAGCTTTGCGCAGTTTTGCACGTTTCTGAAAAATCATACATCATATTAATTTGACTAGGCTTATTCACAATGTATAAAATCAAATGTATATGTAAATCTGGATGGCGTAGGACAACCATCTACATTTTTTAACACCTTGGGAAGGAATGAAGAAATTGGAAGAAAATACGTGAACGTGATTTTGATTTCCTGAAAGGTATGGTCTGAAGGGTGCATATAATTATTGTTGAAATTGTTTTGCATTTTGCTGCTGTCATTTGTTCACAACTTTTACCATAACTTTACTGTAACTTTACCAAGTGGGTAACCTTTTGGATGAAATTTTCCATGCCAGGTTTCTGCCTCAAGTAGTTTGGGATGGGGGAGGAAGGAAAATAAATCCATGTCTTTGTTTCTGAGAACATAGTCAGGAAATAATGTGTTGTTCAAGTGACAGTCATTTAATAAGAAATGCTTAGTTTAAGTGATAGTAAGTGATTGATAGCTTAGTGATAATTTCTTTTTGAACCAGTGACGTGTTGGAACGCTTGAGGTATTTTTGTGGGGTGGTCTTTGTCTGGACTGTACATTTTGCTGTGCCTCTAAAAATCTTCCATTTTTTGGCCAAGATGTACAATTCTGAAAAAAAAGTGGTTTGCAGGTACTCAGTAGATACTGGTTGAACTTCACCAGCTGAAGATTGCTAAAGATTTACCCAACACTGAGGCATGCTCCTGTGTTTAGAAATTAGCAGAACTCATTCCTGGAGTTGCTAATTTGATTGGTCCTGAATCTGAGAATGAAAACAGGGAGATGATTTTTCTGTGTTCCCACTGTCTCATCCTCTTACTTTCCTTTACTTGTGTGCAAGAGGAAACACTTCCTGGCTTATGTAAATAAAGGATAAAAATTGGGTGGGGGGAGCTTGTGAAGAAATACCTCAGATGGGAAGTGAAAGTGCAGAAATGGTGGCTGACCATGGCACGAGAGAAAAACTGGGATAGGGGAAGACCTGGGGCTGCTGGGACTAATGATGGGAGATAATCGTTTGACTTTCTCCTGGTAAGGGTGTAATAAGGATACAATGAGGATATGAACTGCAATATTCACAAACTGAAAAGTGTATTAGTATAATATTTGCTTGAAGCAATAACTTCTGAATGAGTTGACCTATTTTTTCAGTCACAGCATGTTGTTTACTCTTTGTTATTGCATATTTGTATAATTCATTACATTATCTAGATGCCAGCTGATTCAGCATTTTTTTGCCTTGGAGTTGGCCAGTTTGCAGCAGCCCTGTACTGTAGCGCCAGGAGCAGCTTGCTGTTCTCCAGCTTCTCCCATAAAGAACAGTTAATTGAGTTACTTTGCATTGTAGCCAGAGTACAGTGGAGTCAGTATTAGCTTGCTCTTGGGTGAGATGATGTGGAAGCAAGAAGCCTTGACTGTTAAATTGCCCTGGAGAGGTGTACAGCCTCCAGGGATCAGTGCGTACGTCTCTCAGTGTGCATGGCTCATACCTAGCAGTGGCCATAGAGCTAGCTAAGGGCAACTAGTGAAGAATGAAGCGGAATAGGACAGGATTCAGAGGTGCCTAGAGGAGAGCATCGTAATAATAGCTTTTCCATGCAAGCTGTTTCATTCAAATATAGACAGTCTTGGTAGCTAGGTTATTCCCTTCTTTCTCTAAACAGAAGTCACACAACTGTGCATGGAAGCAACATGCATTTGTCATAATGCACCAATTGGGATTTCTTGGTTGCAGAGAGGTACTTTTTGGTCCACAGTTGGCTTATGTTAAAAATCATATCTTCAGGGCAGCACTTCAGTTAACACCAACAGCATCAATGAGTGTGGAGTAGTGAGGTGTACCATTCTTCAGAGCCTTGAGGAAGGCATCCAGAAATTGAGGGATGCAGTTAATAAATACCCGCGAAAGGGTGGCATAAAAGCTACAGCCTTGCCTGAGAAGAGCAAACGGGTGGGCACTGGAAAAACTTAGTCTGGTGATGGGAGGAGGGAGCTGACCTGCCAGTACAGAATGGGAAGTGATTAGCAGGGCACATTAGTGTTACACAAATGGTTTTGTTGCGCTTTGAAGGTGACGATAAGCTTTTGATGTGTGCAAGATAGTAATTAGGGAGAGAGGATGGAGGGGATGGGCATAACTGTTACACTGCTTGATTTTTTTTGGAAGAGTATTACTTTATACAGCTAAATAGGTTCTTCGCTAAGTATTATCCGTATATGTAAAACCCCGTTCATTTTGGATATATAAAAACCCTATCAAGAAGCTTCAAAAGGCATTGGGTGTTGCAATGAGAAACAGAGTCATGATCAGTTATTACCCTGTGTAGTATTTAACCAGTGTGAGAGATGATCTTGGGAATTGCTGCGTTTTGCAGAACCTGGTCAGTGAGGAGCGGTAGCCAGTTACTGGTTGATCCTGCTGAAAATCTTTTATGTATTTAGACAAAGTATAATTATGCTGTATCTAGCCAGATAGTGTTACCATGGCATCAGGGAAGGGGTGTAATACGTTCCACTTAATTCAGCCATGTGTTGGTCAGCTGAAGTTTTTATTGGCCCAGCAACTCATTTGAGTCAAGCATTCCTGTTTTGCAGACAGAATGGGAGATCGTTGTAAGGATAGTTTTCTGTGTCTAGAAGAAAATGCAGAAAATATTAGCACTCGGGATAAAACGAGTCTTTAGGTTAGTTCTGATTTAACACTTTGTTCAAAGCATTGTCAGAGAAACTCATGCTTAGCCAGAGTTTAATTATAGGCAATACAAACAGCAGCGTTTCTCTTATGGCACTCAATAATCACATTGAAATACCAGGATGCTTTATTGAGTTGAATTTTATATTTTGAATGTAAAAATCTGATGCAATCTAAAAGTATCTGGTTTGGACATTTCTTGAGATTTTCAGGTTGTTGGTATCAATGTGAATGATCTGTTTAGTCAACATAATAAAATTTGCATATCAGAAAAATCCTTAAATAATTGTAAACATAGTTCTTTAAAGCGTTAACTGCATTTCCTCTAGAACAACACTTTTATGAAAGCAAGAAGTGGTAGCAATGTTTAGTACAGATTTGTCTCTCTGATTTCAGAGTACTATTAATTAAAAATTTCTGCATCCCTAGACGGTATAAGTCCTGACAGATTTGATATTTGAATTAGTAATTAACAGAATTATTAGACACAAGTAACTATGGATAAAACCTTCAAATAAACAATTGGTAACTGTACCGGAAGGTATTCAGCAGTACTGAAGGCTTCAGAACTTCGGTATTTGTCTCTCTGATTTCAGAGTACTATTAATTAAAAATTTCTGCATCCCTAGACGGTATAAGTCCTGACAGATTTGATATTTGAATTAGTAATTAACAGAATTATTAGACACAAGTAACTATGGATAAAACCTTCAAATAAACAATTGGTAACTGTACCGGAAGGTATTCAGCAGTACTGAAGGCTTCAGAACTTCGGTGTATTGACAAAAAATATAAGAGACAAACATTTATGAGAAGTAATACATCTGAGTATAAATATAGACCCTAAATGCCAGATTCTTTAAAAAGTCCACACTCAGTGTAATGTTCTTAAAATTTGAAAGTTTCTTCTTTTTTTTTTAAATACTTTTCTGGCTGTAAGAACTATAAATATTCCAAAGTTTACTCTATTGTTAGATTTATGAGTAGGTGAGAATAAGAATATGGCAAATCTGAATTTGAAATCTGTCACTCTAGATAGTTTTAGATTATCAGAACACTAGCAATAGTTTGGTTGAAATACTTCCATAATAATTTACATTTTTATATCTTTTACATGCATTTTAGCCATAACAACTGTGTTACAGTACTTTTGTGAGCTGTCAGCATCAGCAGCTTAAATGGTTTTCTCTAAAACACTTTTTGTAAAATTAACTTTCAGCCACGTAAACCAAACATCCCTAGAGGTAAAAGGATAATTTTGTAGAATCTGGTCCTGTTTATTTTACAGGCTACTTTTAAGCAAAAATCACTAATTATGTCAAATTGCTTAGAGCAGCAACATTATTTACTTATGATGAAGCCAATATCTCTAACCTCATTTCATGAATATTGATTTAAACCTTAGGTTCCAGAGATAGTCCAAACAATTAACCTACTAAATCACTGTTTGAAGAAACTATAAAATCAATATATAATGAAATTTGACCTTGAGTACACCTTTTCAGAGGAAGTGGCTACCATAAATCCATCGTCATAGCATTGCTTCCTAAATATTTGGGACTCCAACTTTCCATATGACAGTTTCTAAAGTCTTAAAACTTACATCCTTAAGAAATCAGTACTCTAGACTTGGGTTTTTTTCTTTTAATGTTTTCCCCAAAGAGTTCTTGTTTTCTAAAGCACATTCTGTGGATTGGATGGTCTTTCACTCCAAAAGAGGGAATAAAATGCATGCTTATCCAAAAGAGTTACAACTTTGTGTTAGCCTCTGTTAGATGAAAGCAATTGTCATGGTACTACAGGAAGGTGGAGATTTTGGCATGCTGCCCTAAACTTCGTTGGTGATACGCAACAATCCTTGAAAAAAAAAGTGCTGTAAGACATGGCGTCCTTTCCTCTGTTGCTCTGTTTTAATTTCATTTCCCATGACTGTGCCAAAGTAAAAGGATGTTTGTGAAACACTTTTTACCTTTGGCTGGGGACCATTGTTGTGGTGGGAAGATACATAAAGGTTACACAAAATGAGAAATTAAGATATCTGAGTCTTACTGCAGTCTTCATCAGAATGTATACATTCGCATAAGACATTTATTATAGAGCTTTTAGAAATGTTGGTGAGCACTACCTGCTACAAAAATTAATGCAGAGGATATTATCAAAAGCTTTGAGTTCTCTCCATGTCCACTTGGATACTTTCAAGGAGAAATGGAAGGGATCCAAAGCATAAGCACGAAGGTTTCTTTCTAAAGAGAGTTCTCAAAAGAGAATGGGACAAAGAGGAAAAGAGATTGTCTAAGAGTAACATTATGTTTTGTATTTCTGATGTGGAATACAAACTATTTGGCTATAGCACAATTACGTTTAAATATCATAGGCTCATGAAAACATAGAGTGGTTTGGTTTGGAAGGGACCTTTACAGACCGTCTAGTCCAATCCCCCTGCCATGGGCAGGGACATCTTCCACTAGATCAGGTTGCTCAAAGCCCCAGCCAACCTGACCTTGAACACTTCCAGTGATGGGGTGTCCACAACTTCTCTGGGCAACCTGTTCCACTGTCTCACCAGCCTCATCACAGAAAATTTCTTTCTTATGTCCAATCTAAACTTACCCTCTTTCATTTTAAAACCATTGCCCCTTATCCTGTCACTACAGGCCTTGGTAAAAAGTGTCTCTCCGTCTTCCTTCTAAGCCCCCTTTATATATTGAAAGGCTGCAATGAGGTCTCCCCGGAGCCTTCTCTTCTCCAGGCTGAACAACCCCAACTCTCTCAGCCTTTCCTCACAGGAGAGGTGTTCCATCTCTCTGACCATTTTCGTGACCATCCTCTGGACCCACTCTAACAGGTTAGGATTCCATAGGTATTTTTACTTCATGGACCTCCCTTAGTTTTACATGTATTTGTTAATGATGAATAATGGCAATACCATCTCTCCTCAAGGTTTGCTATCCTTGAGTCCCCCAGAGTGAACATTGCCGAGGAGTATGGCCTACTTTGTGTTGGGTAACAAAGAGAACTCAACAAGGAAGAATTCTCTGACCGTATGAATGTCATTGCACTGGGTGTATTAAGTCATTGCATTTTTTGAGGTCATCACTAGCATACTAGGAATTTCAAAGCAAAGTAACATAACTACTAAATATATAAAGCAGATAAATGTGCTGAGTCTTTCTAGTAGAAATTATAAAGAGCAATAAAGGTTTCCTGAGGAATTCTTCTTGTTGTTCTTAACTGGAAAACAGGTTTTTTTATTATTCGGTATGTGGACAATATATTACAGTCAGCTCAAATTGAAAAGGTAATTTTTCCCCAAGCCCCTTCTGTTCCACCCTCAGAAATTCCTGTTTCAGTACTCTTTCAGGGATGATTGAATTGGAAGACCTACGGTTGATACAGATTTTTTTGTCCATTTTATTTGAAAGAACAATGGCAGTGATTTTAATGGCATAATAATTTATGCAGAAGTTGCTAGTTTCCTAGAAAAATCACTTAAATTTGACTTAATTGAACACTAAGCCTTTTCTCCTCCATAGCACTACAAAATCCTAACATGCAAGAGCTTTTTTCTCTGAAAATAAGAAGTAACTTCAGATTTCTCATTGTATTTTAGGAAGCTGAGTAAGCTGTGGTCTTTTACTGTGGCCTCTAAAATTATGAAAAGAATTAAGGAAAGATGTAGGCTGTAGATAAAGTTTTTTATTGGTAACAAAGCATATTTAGAAATTGAGGAATTAAACTTTACATAAAAATACCTCACAAATCACAGTAAATATTTTGTCTTGTTATTTAGACAATTAAAAAGAATGTTCTAATATTGTCTAGTATTGTAAATGCAGTCTTTGATGGTTTTAGCACATATTCCAGGAATCACAGCTTCTACTTCTATTGTTTTACTATTTTTCATGATAATGTCTCTATATTCTTTATGTCAACTGGCAATAGCAGGATTGATTAATTTTAATGATGGTGAGGTTTCTGTGTGATGATAGGTAGTTCTTTTGCAAAACTTGCTCTCTGCTAATGGAATAATTACTCTGGTCTCTGTCCCGTGGAAAGTGCTGTATGGATAGTTTCCCATTGAAGTTAGTGGAGCCCTCCTGCAGGTGCCAAATCTGCCCTGATGGTTCTCGTAACTGTGTTTGTAACTATATAGAAATGGTAAGTGTAAATGTAGACAGTAGTGCTGCGTAATGAATGCAATTCTCTTTATAAATAATATCAGATACCTGTTGTCCTGTATGACCAGTACTGCTTATCCCCTCCTACTTCTGCCCTTCGTCTTACTGACCACCAAGTGATTTATACCACAGCAGTATCAGGATGCTACAGTATCTCTTTGCTGTTAAAAACTGATGCCGAAACCCTGGTTATCTGCAGTTCAGAAAAATATGTTGTACAAAACTATTCAGAAAATACATTGCTATTTACCTCTCTAATTTTGCAGTGGAAATGCATATCACTCAGCTTCTTTACTGTCAATTTTGGAAAAGTAAAGTGATTATTTACCGAAGGTTCCTTTTTTCTGCATAGCTAGTTGGTAAAAATAGCAATTATATGGCGTATTTTTCCTTTATTTTAGTATCAGAGATGCAGGCTCTGGGACAGATTGCACGAAGAGCACATTAACGCAGGACGAACAGTTCAGGTAAGGGTATTAATATGACCATGATATTAATGGAATTAAATTACATACATAGTACTGGTTACCTCAGGGATGGATCTTCACAGAGATGTATGTTTGACAGATGGATTCGTCAAGTACATGGTATTGCTTTACTTCATTTAAAAGGTAGGGTTTTCCTAATTGTGTCCTATGAGGCAAATACAGTCAGAAATGTTTCAGGATTCTTGAACAAACAAAAATTTGGAGACTCTGGTCTTTCGCAAACTATCCTCTTACATTACTACATTAGAAGACAGGAATTGCAATAAGGGATACTGTTAATTTTAGAGCATGGTTTCAGACCGAACACAGAACATCCGGACTACTACTTCGGTGTGCAAATCTCTTGTTAGATGCATAACATCATTCAAAGGAGGAAATACCAGACACATTTGTCAGTATGGCGTCATCTCAGTGACTTCATGCATAGTCACCCATAACTCAGCACACAGGGAATCTCACATCTGTTTCTAAAAAAAAGGCATGTCTTGATGAAAATGATGCAAAAGCTAATTCCAAACATCAGCCTTCACACTGCTAAATAGCACACAGCCAAAAAGGTTATCAATACAGAAAAACAGAAAGACCAGATCTGCACTGCAAAGTTTGCTGATACAGGTAGAGCAGCTAGTGGTTATAACATGCTGTACTGGCAAAATTCTGGGGACAGACATATCTTTGCCAGCAGGAGAGGCATCTTGTGTTGGTTTCATAGGTGGTGTTCAGAGGAGGGACATGACTTTGTTGCTAGAACAAACTTTTTGTTACCTACGCTGCATCTAGACAAGCAGGCTTTGCCAGCAGAGGTAGCACAGTCCTAAACCACTGTATTTTATAATTCTAATACTGTAAATTCCCGTGTTTGTTGCAGTGCCTTACTGACTTCTGTGGGAAATTAGGCCAGACTGAAAATGAAAAAAACTCAGAAAGAAGAACTTAATCCCGATTGAACAACAGTATTAGACAGTAGGCAGAGCTGGAGTTACGTATCTTTTTTGAGGAATGGAAGGTGTTAATGAGCTTTTTTAGTGTAGATTATAAGAAGTTATATATGAAATCCACTTGATGTTTCTGTTGTTTGGAGGTTTGAATGTTTATTTTGATTTTTCACACAGCATTTTTGCAATTTGAATATAAAATAAGTTTATTCTTAATATCAAAAGAGTCTTCCAAATGTGGAAGTCCTTTTAAAACAATGGCATTCTAACAGGTGTGGGGTAGTAAGCATGTGTTTGCTTATGTCTGTGCTCTAATCTGTTTTCACATCTGAGGGGAGGAAAGGCTTCTCTTGGAACTCTTTATTATCAGTGTCATTTGTTTAGCAAGACAAAATCTATCGATAATGAGAGAAAAAGTAATCATGTTGAAGATGTTGAAGATGATGTTTTCAAATTGATTAAGTGCTTTAGTAATAAAACCTCATATTTGTCTTTAGAAACATTTATATTTGTCTTGAACCTAAAGCCTGCCATTTTCACTTTCAGCCAAAATAAATTTTCTTATGTTTTATTTAATGCTTACTGCTTTTAGATCTGGATGCAAGTTATGCGTTGAAGTCGTTCACATTCTGATACCCAGAGAGCAGAATAAGTGTCTGGGTCCATGCAAGAAGAGTAGACTAGCTCTTTGTTTTAATTAAATAGTTAGGAGTCTGGAGTACTTGATAATAAATTATATGACATGTAGAATGTGTTTGCTGTAAGCTGTTTAAATGTTTACCAATGGACTTGTGATCTGTTTGTTTGCGAAGAAATCAGATTAATTATTGTGATACCAAATGTTCTCTGCAGCACACACTTTGCTCTCAAAATTAGATGTTGTAAAAATACATTAGGAATCCCTAAGTCAATATTGACCCAAGGCATTCACCACAGGTTTTAGACAAATATATGCACAGCCACTCTACATTTAATCCATGTGCACATAATTAGCCATTTTTCTGAATTTTCAGTTTACCCAGAATAATTACTTCTGTTGTACTTTTGATGATGGTCAAAATTATAATAGAAGTATAGAGGAGCATAAATGTATACCTCTTCTTTCTGGTGACTGGATGCCACATTAAAAACTTCTAAAAAGGGAAGTGAAGAAACCGGGAAATCTTTGTATAGGGCATGATGACACCCTTTCAAAAATACTGAGAAAATAGCTCTTACATACTGTGTATTAGTTTTCACAAATGTGCTCTTGCAGATTTTCATTTTTAGGGATGGTCTGTGGACTTGAAATGTTAGGGCCTGAATAAATACGCAGTTTTGCTAGGCTTTGCCCCATATATGCTGACTATACCATACAGTTAGTTAATTATTGCAAGATTTAAGTTAATTTCAGTGAAATGGCAGTATTCTAACAGTTGTAACACCTAAGGACTGCTTTAATCATATTCATAGTGAGAGGTAGAAAAATGCTGCAGTTACTAGAGAGGATATAAGGCATTGAAGAAAAAAAGGAAAAATACTGTGGATGAATGATCTGGCTTTAGTCTATATTCAGCCCACAAAAGGAGACTCTGTTCTGCAAAACATACCTAGGCAGACGTAGTCTTTCCACTGTGTTGCTCTAACGTGGAAAGCTACTTGAAAAATGTTAATCTATTTTTTTTTTCTTTTTCACTTTTATGATTTCCATTTCAACTGAAAATGGTTTACAAGTAAAAGATGGTTTTCAGTCAGCTCTCTTTTGCATAAATCTTCAAAGCTTAGTTGTATGGCTCATGTCTTCTACACCATCTTTAAAATTACGCAGTCTTTAAATTAAGTATCTTTCTGGAATACTACGCAATATACTGGGAGAGCATGAGAAGAAGGGTAGATGAGTGTCTTTATTGCTGCAGGAGATTGTTTATGGTGTCAGTGCAGGGCTGTGTAAAATCAGCTCACTATTGCAGCCTGTGGCCATCTGTAGGGTAAATATATCCTAAAACTCAGATTTTCTTTGGCCTGTGCCAAGAAACTTGTAACATATATCCTTTATTACATTACTTTGAACAAAGTCCAGAGAAGCTAAGGGAAGGTAAGATTACATTTGCACGGCTAAGCTACTGCAATACTTCCTTAAAAATCATATTTATTTTTGAGAGGCTTTAAGGTGGTGGGTTTGTTTGGAGGTGCTATTTACTTCTTAATTTAAAACAACAACATGCAGAATGGAGGGAGAGTTGACAGTGATTAATGCATGGAAGACAGGAGATAAAGAGAAAAAGGGACTGGTTTGTTGGACATGACAGATCCTGTGTCATCCATGTACTATTTCAGCATAAAGAGTGTAAAGCGTAAACCATTGGAAAGTGTATATGACATTACATTTAATGATGCTACAACTAAGAAGAAGAAAAAGAGAATGATGGTGGCAGAGATTGAGTGGAATAATGGCATGACCACCATGATTCGGTTAGCTGGTAGCGTTAGGAGCAGTGTAGGCTGATGGGGATAGAGTAAGTGAAGTGCTGGAGTTTCTGAGCGCTCTGGGAACATCAGCCTTGCCAAGGATGTGTGGCTGAAGCAGGTACTGACACTGCGATTTTCAGGTAGCTGTTGCTGGGGGCCTTAGATAGAACTTCAGATATTTCCATAGCTGGTAGAGATGTCACATGTTACATGGAAATAATCCTACAGCTCAAGTCACTGCTGCCTTTTCAAGGGTTTTGGTCCCATCTCAGCCCTTCGACACTTGTACAAGGTGGAACCATGCGGACCTGGTGTTTATCCTGGTGCCTGGGGGCCTCACGCTGGGTCAGCACTGAAGCACTGAGGTGTCCTTACGCTCTTTGTTACTACCTCTTTTCCTTGTGGTGTTACGTGTCCTTAATCAGCAGCATGCCGTGGCAGTGTAGCCCAAGCTCTCTGCCGTGGCACGGTACTGCGGGTCGCTGCGTGCGTTTGCCTGCTGTTGAATAGGAATTCCATTATTTCCTTCTTTGTTGTCATGCGTTACTTTTTCTCAATTGTAATGAAATTGGTTGCACATGAGGCAGGTGTAACATTGGTGTTGATGTTCACGAGTGTTACGTATTTGAGTGTGAAGTGATGATGATATATTAAGGTGGCCTACAGTAAGTCTATGGAAACACAGCATCCATTTTTCATCAGGTTTGAAAATTCAGCTGTCACCATTAGTGAAGAAAAATTACTGCTCTGAAAAACAAATACTGAAAAAAATGAAGACTTTTTACTCTTTTGTATAAATAAGGTTTATTGGTTTTCTGAAAATTACTGTTAAGACTTCTGAATCCCTTAGGGAGTCTGTCACTTTTCTCGCAAGTCCAAGACATCTGTAGAGGAACTCCTGTTCATAAGCCACTTAGGAGGAGCAGCATATGGGAAGATACTTTGTGTTTTTAAAGATAATTCTAAAAACTGAATACTTATAATAGTTCCTTCTCTTACTTATTTAAAACTGTGCTGAGTAATAAGGCAAACTTAATGGGCAGATGTGTACAGTCATTTTCAGCAACAGTGATTTAAAAAAAAAAAAGTTTAAATGAAGCTCTCCTTTGGCTCATTTGTCTCTTCTTGTATTTTACTTTCTGATAGAAATTTATTCTTTATTTTTTATTGAATGTGTTTCTAAAGATTTTGAAAAGAATGGAAAAGCAGTGCAACTTCATTATGTATGACTTCTCTGTTTCTTTCCATTTTGGATGTGTTGATAGAGTCAATAGATTTTTCACGGTACTTGTGAAAACCATGGCACTTCTCATTTACTTTTCTGAAAAAAAATCCATTGTATTTATTCACATCATATAGTGAATCCACCATCCTGGTGGATCTCCCAGACCTACCTCCAAATTTGTGGACACTCTAGAAAAACTAGGCTCAGACTTTGTGTCCCTCCCTCAGTTCTGCATCTATTCAGGAAGAACAGTGAACCTCACTCCAACAAAGTCCTTTGACACCTAGGGATGAAAGCACTATGTAATAGCTATGTAACATTAGTTTCATTATATAGCAAAAATATGCAAACAGCATAAAGCTGAGAGAGACTCAGGGATTCTGGTGGAGAGGACAGGATTAGAATTCATAACGATGTTGAGAAAAGACCTGAAAAACCAGTATGTTTTTGGATGGGGACAAGGACCATCGTTGGCTGTATAGATCCAGCATGGGAAGCTGTTGGGGCAGTACTTCTGCAGAAGAGGACTTGCAGGACACAGAGTAAAAGTGAGCCAATGGTGTGGTAGTGATACCAAAAAGCCGAAAAACATAGTGGGATATATAAACAGGGAGTGGTCAGTGCAATCTCTCATACAATGTCTTTGGTCAGCATTAGTAGGATCCCAGGTAGAATAGTTAGTCCAGTTTGGGCACCGCACTTTTAAGGAAGCTGTGGACTGATTAGGGAGTATTCAGGGAGAGCAATGAAAATGGTCAGAAATAGGGAAAACGAGACTTACTTGGAAAGACTGACAAATTTAGTTATTTTGCCCAAAGAATGCGTGACAGTGGTGTGTTGTCTGTTTGCAAACGTGGAAAAGACGGTTGCAAAGAGGGCAGGGCTTGTCTTTCTCTGTTTTGAACAGAGAGGATTAGAAATACCTGGTTTAAACTGAGGCAAGAGAGATTTCTGTTAGACACGAGGAAAAATGCTGTGGCAATTAGGATAATGAATTCTTGTAACATAATATCAAGGAGGTTGTAGCTCTTCATAAAGAAGTCCTTTTAAGACCAGATCAGATAAACAACTGTCAGAGAGAAATAGGGACAACGGTTCATGCTTTAAGGGGATGACTTCCCGAGGTTTTCGCCAGCTTTATTTTCCTACAGTTTTTGCGAGAAAGCCATTTGAAACAAAGACTGTTACTTGGTTTTGGAAGTTAACAGACCAAAGTTGCAAATATTATAACGAAAAATTCTGTGTCTTTTGGGCTGAATTTGGTGAGTTCAAAACTCAGGAGTTCCCATAAATGAAAACAGGATTTTGTATTACCTTCCTCACTAAGTAAGCTTGGTTTTAAAAGTGGAAACAGTTGGGAAGAGGGTGATATACTTTTATGCTCAACCCAGAAATTAAACTCTGTCCCATTAAAATGATTATGAAAAGAAGTCACAATCATTTGCATATCCATAACATTTATCATGTTACACCCTGGTGAGCTCCTAAGACGTGTCTCCTCGCAGCGGGGCTTAGCTTTCGTGCTAGGCTGAATCCCTTTAGCTTCTGCTTAATCGACAATAAATGGAACAAGAGTCCTCTCTCCAAAACCACAAAGGAAGAGGTACTAAAATTAAATTTCACCAAGTAGGCAAATATCATTGTCTGATTCCTCCTCCATCTTCTTTCTCACAAATATTTCTCTTTGATCAGCAATGTAGTGATGAACAGTGAAAGTGAGGATCTGATTCAGCCATTCCTTGGGGTGGATAGTTCGTATCTCTTAAAGCTTCTGTTCAGGATTTTTTAAAACTCCAGCAGAAAGTTGGTGGTTGTGTTGGTCACTGCACAGTAACCGTCTTCATTACACCTGTGCATTGGCTATACTGGTAATTTGCCCCAGCTGTAGCTGCAGTGGTGCAAATCCCTAGCAGAGCTACGTTTTACTCAATTTCATCTGGGAAATTTTCCTTTTTTTTTAAAGAAACTGCTTTGGAAGCATTATTAGCTCATCCCAAACTCACTGTTGTGACTGTTTCACAACATGTTTTTGTTTGGTGTATCGTTTTTTGTCTCCATTATGGCCAAAGACAGGATAATACTAATTTTGTTTCTTGAAACAAAACAGCAGGATCAACTTCACTCGGTCCCTTGCATATAATTTTCACAAAATAGATAATTAAATGTGTCTAGCTAGTCCCGTTTTGTCTTTTAAATGAAATTCCAAGATTTTATAAATGGAGAATTTTGGCACATGGTGGCTTATGACAGTGATGACATTCTCCCTTTTTCAGTACTTACGGGCAGACCATGGGAGGAAGATAACAGGAAGAGCAAGGTAGATTAAGATGAGAAATGTATGAGGAAAATTATTGGGTATCATGTTTCTAATTCAACTCAGTATCTTACAAAGTCACTTTTTGTATCTCCCCTTTTTTAGTGTTAATCAGTGTTTTTACCTGGGGTTAGCCTTAAATAATGCAGCCTAAGTTGGCTAGCAGTACTCTTAATTTAAGCATACAATAGAATATACTCTTAGTAATTTGACAAATTATTTTTGCGAATCAATAGTTCTTTCTTTGATTGCCTAATATGGCTCATGCGGTGTTACATCAATTTGTTGTTGAATTAATTTCCTTCTTCCCTAATTATAGTTCTACTATTTTTTTCATACTTGTTAAAAAAAAATTAATTCTACTAGTGTATATAATTAAAATAAATTCCATCTAGTTCCTGCTTTTCCAGGTAAGCAATATTGCCATTCTAAGGCATTACGTGTACCTGGTTTGTATTACTGAAGAAAACCTTTCTTTTTCTAACCGCTCACTGGTGTTAATCCATTCTCTTGTTCTGCTGTGAGAAGAATATTCAAAACAATTGGTTAATAGTGCAACAAATAGTATAATTTATTATATCATCTTATAATGTAATGCAATGAATATTATTTTTATTACAGCCTTTTTTTTTTATAATTAGATAAAAACTGTCCTAAAACAATGAGTGGTATAACTTAAACTATAAATTTCTTCTTTGAATTTGAAGAAAAAGAAAAGTTGCATGCATTTTTAGCCTAAGCAATAAACACCCCCCTCTATTTTTGCTGTAGACAGAAATTTATCTCACAGGAGATGCCTGCACACAGACTCTTCTGGCTAGTTGTGAATAGTTTATATCTTTTCAAAATTCCTGCAACTAAAGAAATATTTCTGTATTTTATTATATTTGATATTGAAATCAAACAAATATATTTGTCCTTCTTCTGAAAAAAGAATATAAATATTGAAAAAAAAAAAAAGTAATCCTTCTCCTTTGTCCCTGAAGTTGTCTTTACAAAATGAAAATGATAGTTTTGGGGTAGTTGGGGGTTACGAATGATTGTATCCTGAAGTGCTATAATCACCACAGTCACTTATTATAAAAAAAGGCAAATTTTGAGAAGCAATCACTTATTTTATTTGGCTGTTATTTCAACGTGTTGCAACCTGTGTAAATATTTTGGCAAAAGCCTAAATTGATCACAGACACCGAAATAACTTCAGTAATTGCATAGTGAATGAATTAGTTAAATAATTTAATTGAAACCCAAAATAAAACAAACTGACTTCTCTACTTGGAGAAGTGGATAAAGTATAAAATTGACAGCAAGAAAAGCAAAATATTGATGGGGATGGCTTCAGAAATATTTCTCCCTTGTTTTGCAGTTGGCTGATAACTACAGATAAATTAGTTTGCCAGCGAAGATAATAGGTATCATCTCTTCCTTGATCTTTGGTTCTTATTCTCCTGGGGCAGATAGCTTAGTTTCCCCTATGGTAAGTAGGCCACGTCCAAAAAGACTTCGGCAGTATGTCCAGGTGACGCCTCACTGCACTGTTTAGGGACTGCTGTGTTGGGAGCTACTGCCTCTGGTTATTTTTTTTATAGATAGAGAACTGAGTGAATTCATGAGCACAAGCAAATATTAAAAGTACAACGGACTTAGCGAGCCGGTTATGATATTGATACAGTGGCACCTCCGAGTAAGAAGTGCTCGGAAGTACCGATGCCTTCCTCTATGGACGGCTTTGAGCTCTGGTTGAGGTGACTGAATCGCTGACTCGCTCAGTATCACTGTCAGCTACAGGACTGTCATCCGACTTAGGAAGAGTAGGAGATGGGTCATCTACTCAGAAGGGATCATCTGTAGGTTGAGCTACCTTAAGTGAGGACAAGCCCCTTCTCTGCAGAGTGCTCTATTTCTTACGGGGTGACTCTTCTGCAGGAGCAGTACAAAAAGACCAGGGAATAGCGCTGGGTCACAAAATAACTGAGTCTGGGAGACCCAGGATGGGTTCAAAGGAAGGATTCACTCTGTTATCGGAGGCGCAGGCTTTTACAGCAATTGGGGGCATCTTTGACAGGCAAGCCGGCTGCAGTCAAACAATACAGTCTGGAAACAAAAATGGATGTAGCAGAGAGGTGACCTGGAACATAGGGATTGCTTGAAAGCTGGGACTTTCGAGGGTTTTTTTTGTCATAGTTTATTAAAACTTAGAAATGGCACTCTTTATGGTTATTTAAAGATCATCAAGTTGATAGTTGCTTCCCAAACACAAAAGGTGTCTGGTGCTCTTATGTAGTAAGCTACAAAATAACTCTTAAAACTGTTACAGCAACTCCGAGCCAATATGAGAGAGATGGAGAAACTCTGTTTGCGAGTCCGACAGGAAGACATCCCAGTTCTGCAGAGAATGATAAATCCAGTTAAAGAGGAAGCTTCATTTGCCATAAAAGACTTCCTGCAGCTCCATTCTGAATCTGCAGAAGAACTTAAAAAGCAACTCGAAGGACAGGAGGATGCCTCTTTAACCAGATCTGAAACTGTAGGAGGAGGTAGTAGTATTTTATTTCTGTATCTCTGATATCTATATTGTTGTATCCAATCTGCATTTTCTGACCAGTGTAACAAGTAAACAAATGAGATTTCAGTTGAAGAATAACTGTTAATCAAGAAGTGGATTTTCTTTCCCTACACCACACTTTTCTTACAACCTGTGACTGAGTTTTGGTAAATGGAGAATGCTCTAATTAAAATATCCTAAGAAAGGAGGTAGTTGTGGCCTTCCATGAAAAAGATCCCGTAGCCTTGGATCTGGAAATAGAAGACTGTTCATACGAAGAAGAACACTTACATTAATGTTTCACAGTAGCTTGACTTCTTTCCCCCACCCCTGCAAATAACTTGATTGTGTGCGAGTAACCATTTAGGCCATTTTCATTGAATCAGTGCTTGCAACATCAAGAAGAAAACAATTTTTCTATGACAGACAAGATAATATGCCACTGCTGAAATACCTGGAAAAGAGGAGCAAGTCTCTATATAAAGGAGAACATCTCTTCCTGTGGCATTTTATCTCAGTAACTGACAAGAAAGCAGAAAACAGTATAAATCCATTTAAATAAAAAATTTTGAAAACACACTGTAACATGCTACAAGTCAGACATGTTTGCTGTTTTTCCCTCCTTTCTCTACAAAATGTCTTTCATTCCTTGTTCTACCATTCTGTCTTCGGGGGAAGCCCTTATTATGTCCTGGTACCAGCTGCTGATCTCTGCTGATGATCTGTGAGAAAGTTGGTTACATCAGGATTAAATCCTTCCACATATAGTTTGATTGTAATTAGTAATAAGCTTGATTGCTGCAGTTTAAAATTGATTGGAAGTTTCATGTGTCTTTAAAATTGAAAGAGTATTCTCAGTCAATGGCATTGTAGAAGAACCTGCTATCGAATGTGATTTCATGACCCATCTTGTTGCTATATAGAGAACTAAAGGAACTCTTTCAAGTGTGATTAACAAGCTAGTGAGTCCAATGCTCAAACAGGGAGAAAAGAAGAGTAGATTTGGAAGACTGGGCTTGCTTTCGAGAATGTCATGTGCAGTAGTATCAGAAAGCCTTATGAATGTCAAGATATATCAAATATAGAACCATAGAACGGTTTGGGTTGGAAGGGACCTTTGAAGACCATCTAGTCCAACCCCCCTACCTTGGGCAGGGACATCTTCAACTAGATCAGGTTGCTCAAAGCCCCGTCCAACCTGGCCTTGAACACTTCCAGGAAGGGGCATCCACAACTTCTCTGGGCAACCTGTTCTAGTGTCTCACCACCCTCATCATAAAAAAATTCTATCTTCTTACCAAGCCAATAAAAAAGACTGAATTGGCTTCTGACATATGGATGACTTTTTCAACATCTTCAACATCTTGTAATTGATTGTTCAGTATTTTGTCCTAATATCTTTGTGGGTTTCAAAGTCTGGCTATTTGCTGCATTCTCCTTCCCCTCCAAAAAAAGAAGATAATAACTGAATCTGTTCTCTTGCAGTCCCCTGGGACCCCCCTACTCAAGTTGTCAGAAATGCTTGAACTTTAAGAGGCTGTTTCTTAAATGCTCAGTAGTGAATTTCATCAAACCCTCAGGATTTTAATAGATCTAGTGCATCTAAATATGTTTAACCTGTTCTCTTTATGTTTCAGCCTATCCTTTTTCTTTCTTTCTTGTTTAAATTAATTGCATCAAATACCTGATTACAGCTATCTGTTTGTATAAAGACTGACTTAATCTTTCTCTGGGTCATGTCATTTTCTTTCTTTACCTGGCAATGCACTTACACTTCCTTTGTCTTCCTCTAACTTGAAAAGCATTTATAGAAACTTTCTTGCTACCATTTATGCCCCTTGGTAGCTGCAATTTATTTATGTCCTAGTCTTTATGGTATTAACTTTCCATGCTTATATTATTCCTTGTACTCATCTTATTTGTGTGTCAAATTCTTGATATCCAGGGCATTGAAGAGCTCTTGCTGAATCCATAAGCATTTTCCTCTGCATCAGGACAATTTGCTGTCATCTTCAGTATAGCCTATTTTATTAGCATCTGCCAGCTTTTCTGCAGTCCTTTATCCTTTAGGAACTTCTTCCCCACAGTTTCTACTAATCAGTGTGCCAAATGAGTTAATCTCTCTTTTGGGGGGAACTCATTGTCTGTAGTCTCTAACTCCGAGTTTTAGAGTAGTGAACTCTGGTATTCAGTGATCCCCTTCATCCATATTAGCCATTACTTTGACGCTCTTTGTGAGCTCTTCTCTGTTATGATCAGAATTAAATTTAAAATATCTCTTCTTTCGGTAACTTTCTGCAGTTGTCCTCAATACATTCTGGTATTTCATTGGAAAGGCCTTGTCTTGGCTTACTGCTTTTCTAACAGTTACATAGGTGTTAAATGAGAACTAGAGTTTAATTTCAAAGAACAGGACGGCTTTTTTAATCTGAAATACCTTTAAAGTATGGAGGACATTGAGCATAACTGCACTTCAGAAAGACCAGAAATTGATCAGAAAGATTGGGATGAGAAGAACAGAAAAATATTACTGGAATGACACGCTCCTGCAAGTCTGCTCAAGAATACAGGAAATAATTCACCCCATTTAAAGTGAAACATACAGGCAGGCAGACAACTAAATACAATTAAACAGATTTTTTTTTTCAAGTTTGCCTGACAGTGGAAGCAGCTCAGTTGAATTGCTAACGCAGATGCAGTATATTGCCTATTCTTTTGTGCTTAGAGGCTGCAGTCCTGAAAGCAAATCTTGGCTGCTGATCTTAATCAAAGGAGCTTCAGTATGCCCATTCTTTGTAGCATGTTGCTTCCCATCTGGTAGAGAAGGAAGGAGTTTACAAATTCAAATCGCCCATTTAGAAGGCATGTCAGTGAAATGATGTGGTCCCTTCCCCCCTTCACCATCCTCGGCTCAGGTCCAATAGAAATGGAATTTAATTGCATTTTGAACAAATATTAACAAAAGGTGAGACTCCACTCTTAAAATTACTAAGATCTTTTAACCAACATATTGAATCTTCCGGAACATTAGATTTTTATCTTGAGAGTAATGAGGTGCGAAGCTGCTCTATGAAATCTGCAGAGGTGTTTTGTATTACTGCATTTCTGTGGAAATGCTGTAAGTGAACTGGTGGAGCCACTTCCATTCTCAGTTCTATTAAAATTGGTTGGACTTGATAAAACATGAACGAGTGAATATAAATTTCTTACTCATACTTTCAGCCCAAATGTGACTTCACCTTCCCTTACCCTTCTTATTCTTTAGTTTTTTGAAGTGAGTAAAGAATTTTCGTGAGGAATTTTTTTCAACTAATTTCTAGTTCCTAGAAAATGAAAACAGTGTAAACCTACTTACAGGTTTAAGTTCTCTTGAATGTGTGTCATGCAAAACTTCAGTGTCATTCGTGTATGTTGAAGAATGTGCTTTTCTACCATAGGTCAGCATAGATTGTTAAGGACAGACCAGAATAGGGAACATAATTTGTGAGGAGGCGGTTTTGCTCAGTGAGCATTTTTTTTGCTTTTGAATTACAAATATTTTAATTTCAACCAACTTAGCATGCATGTGGCTGATTAGGGAAGCGTACGCTTTTCTTGGCAGAAGAAACTTGATTTTGGAATAAGATTGTGAAGGACTGAAATGGAATAAAATACTCAAAACCAATGTTAAATGTCAGAATATGTAACAGAATTGGTTTATCCAAAAATGGACACATTTGGATATATGATTAATTATATTGAAAAGGGAAAAGGAATATTTCAGAACCGAGTATATAACATTAATTTATCTGATGCTACAGATCAAAAATATGTTCTGGAAGAACAGGTAATGATTGTAGAAGGTGAAGTGCCTTCCATGTCTGGATGCTTAAAGGAAAAGGGGTAGAAATAATTAGAAAGAAAAACAAGCCCAAAATAAAACCCCAAGTCGCTTACTCCATCCTTGTTACTCTGCTTACTTAGTAATTACGGCTGAATATCAGCTTCGTTGATGTTAGACTTCTGTTGATCTGAGAGTAGGAAAATTAGGTCCTTAATGTATTTTGAGATACTGGGATAAAAATGTTGAGAAATGGACAAATGTTATGAAAATGTATCATTTTTATTTTATCTTAAATTAATTCCATGAATAAGCATGCACTATGACTGACTTTTTATTGAATATGATTATTTTTATTTGTTTTCCATTGTTCGTATCTGTTGTAGTAACAGTTATAGAATGTTATTCTAGTATCTCGGTACATTCATTGTTTCTAAAGAAGACTTTAATGCACTATTTACACTTTAACATTACTAGCCATATCTAACCAGTCTTCCTCATATTAAGCTTTGTCTTGATACTGCCCTCCAAGGAAGGAAACATCAGTGTCCTACTAAAGTAGCAATCTTCTTTCAGAAATTGAAGTTGTCTAAATTAATGTGATCTTTGCACTGTGTTTACATACATACGTCCTCCAGTCTGCCTTTCATACTCTCAAGCTATTCCTTCATCCTTGCTATGACAAGCCAAACTTGTTGGTTATTATTCTTTATTACCACGTAATTACTTGTCCGTAGTTACGCACATGTCCATTACATCCGTAGTGGCTCAAGACTGGGCTCTTTGACTGGAGGAGGTACGTGTGTGACTCTTCATTGTATCTGCTCTCCCCCACGCCACCTAGCTGTCTCTCATTCCCCATTTTTTCCACCGTACTTTGTCCTAATGCCTTCTGCACTCAATTCAGGTGATTTAGAGAGGAAGATACTTCAGAATATCTCCTTTACACCGCTGAGCTGCAAATGTTTGCCGTCCTCACGGTACTGTTACCCAACGGGATCCAGCAGTGAATGCTGGGCAGCACGTTACTTGCTTTTCACTGCTTTTACTTTGAAAGCTTTTTCCTCCAGCTTCTTTTGGTCCTAAATGGCTGAAAATCAAACCAGTAGCATAATAATCAATCATAAAATGAATAACTGTCTGTTCAGTTTCGGAAGCGCGGTGTTTTTACGTGTTGTATGAAAATGAAAAGTTTTTGTCGCAAGCTCAGTTTTCTTAGCTCAGTTGATACAAAATTAATTAACTGACCTTGAATTCAGGAATATAATTTAATAGCATTCTCAGAACTGATTGTGAAAGGGCACTGATAGAAATGAATCCATTTCTTCGGCAATAACTTCCTTTTAAGAAACTGTCTAGTGCTGCGAGTAAGACTTTTCCCTATCTGATCATTTTTAGGGCTGTTGCTTGGCTTGATTTAGGTTAAATATCAATTTACCCTTGAGAAACATTAAGAGCGAGAAACTGTGCACATCACCTGCATTCTGATCCAGTGCATTTATTTATAAACATCATGTTTCTCATTCAGAAACTTTATATAACACGGAAGTGAAGGACGGCTCCCAAAGTTTAATCCAGATCTACTCCCGCCTTCCCGAAATACCTCAGGAAGAAAATGCAGCTGAGTCTTGGGAAACTTTAGAAGAGGTATGTTGAAACTCCCTTACTGCCATGTTGGTGCTCTTGGTTTTAGCAACTATTACAAACTAACATTTGTTTTTTATTTGTAGGACTTGATTCAGCTTAGCCAGTTGGTGACTGATTTTTCTCTCTTAGTCAGCGTAAGTATTAATTCTGCATTCTATCCTAGATAGAGTCTTGTACAAAAAGAGGGCGAATGGGTAACTGCTAGTTGGGGGGAAAAAAAGACGAGCAATACTTCTGCCTGTAATCTGAACTCAGACTGAGCTAGTATCAAAGTGACAGAATAGCAGAATAACATTAACTGAATTTACTCAGTCCAGTATTCAAGACTACAAAATCCTAGTCACTGTTAGGAACTTCAGGAAAATGCTAGCAGAGGCAGGGCAGCACAAAGGTGCTGTTTTTGCTACTTGGGACCTGTGGTAAATACACCTACAGTTTCAAAGCCTGTACATTAGATACTTTCCAAAGGCATAGGTGATGCATATAATGTTTACATCAAATTGTCTAGCAGTAAGGTGAAAGGTTTTCTTTTGATTTTCAAGTGCCAACAGAAGAGGAATGTTCAAAAGCGTTAGTTTAACTACTCAGCTGCCCCGTCTGGTTAGAAAACTAACAGCTCTTCCGTCCCTGCATCAGTGACTCATTGCTACAAGTATCTCTGTGGCTCTCCTGTTGATTCAGGCTCTGTCAAGGTAATTTTTTGAGGAGGCGACAGTCTTCTGTTTCAGCACTAGTGCTGATAATTGCCCCTAAGTTCTTGTCGACAGAGCAACTACTGATGTTCTAGCCAGTGCCCTGGGCCACAAGCTGAACCTTAGTAGAAGGTCTACAGTGTTGACCGCAGACTTCTACCCAGGTCCCATTCATTTTTACAGTTTCTAATCGTAATGGTGATGATAGCCTTCACTTCACAGGGTGGGTGTTTCTCAGGTACTTTTTCTTGCTTAATCAGGAGTACTAGAAAGATCTGAAGTTCCCCTCACCTTTAGCATGCCCTTTCTCTGCTCTCACAAATGTAGCTGCCAAAACGTTGCGCATCTTCGTCATCCACACTCAGTTCCCAGTGTTTAGTTCTTCCTGTGGCACAGGGAATTTAAACCCACAATTCTCATCTCCTAGAAGAGTTCTTTAATCTCCTTGCTGTTGGGTTAGTTGGGATAGATAAAATGGCTTTCACCCTTTCTGCTGAATGCGTGCTGCTGCACATATACAAAAAAACCCCTAAGATTCATTAGGCTGGAGAGGGACTGCAAAAATTTTTATTCGGTAGCCTAAATGTTAGCAGCTTTAGCTAAAAAGGGGAGTTCCTGTTCCCAGGACTTTCTGGCTTTTACACATAACCATCATTAGATATAATAGCAAGTATCTAAAGCGTGTGGATTGGATCATAGATGAAGATGCCAGAGCTGGTGGATTCAGCAGATTCTGAATTAGAAAGAGGAAAAAAGTTCAGAATGCCTTTTATTTTAAGCTGAACATTAGCCATCTCATTATTTTGTGACATAAAACAGCCTGGGTACTGCTGAGATTAAAATAAGAACAAACAAACCCACAAACCCCTTTATCTTCTGCTCCAGCATTCTCTGAGAGAGACTGCAGGGGAATCTGAATGCATTTGGAGAAAGGATGGAACATTTTTGTAAAATCAAACAGTAGAATATAGAGCAACAGCCAGCGTATTTTCAGTACTGTCACTACTCTATTTGTTAAGTTGGTGTTTTATAATGTCATAATTAAACACTTCTATTTAGATTTCTTGGTGCAGCTTTGCATGTTGGAGTTGGTACTGATCTTATAAATGCTGTTCATAGAATTTTTTTTGAACATGAAACTCAGCAGGAAACAAAAAGGCTAGTTTGGATTATTTTTCCCTTTAGAATCCAAGTTCATCTATTCACAGAAAAGATTTAGAAATCATATGTTTTGGGTTGTTTTCTCTAACTGCAGCAACATATTGTATAATGCCCACACCATATCATTACTTAATAGTTAAGATTTTTTTAAAGTAAGTTTGTAGTTTCAGCAGTTTATCAGATGCTATTAATGAACCACCATTAAGGCCGCACGGCTGCAGTGTGTAGCAGATGAAAGCGGCTGTGGGGCCCTGATTACATGCATTAAAATGGTGTGTATTGGCTCACTGCTGCTTCCCAGCAGGCTACCTCACTCATAATTCCTTTGCATCTAGTCTCAGCAGGAGAAGATTGACAGGATTGAAGACCATGTCAACAGTGCTGCTGTGAATGTTGAGGAGGGAACCAAAAACTTGGGGAAGGTAGGGATCTGCTCCTGCTGGTGAATCAATGGTACTCTGCCTCCCAGCAATCCTCTGTATTAACCCAATTGATCTGCCGTCTTTAATGCTGAGGGAGCCAGCAATTAAGGAAATAAGGAAGAAATGACCCACAGGTAGCAGGGGAAAAAAAAAATCAATCTTTCTTGTAATTTTCTATCACATCCACGCTACTAGGAAATACAGGGTTTGGTTTTTGCCTTTTTAATGCTATTCTGATGCTACCTTGGTTTACCTGCAAAGACAAGAGCATTCAAAGATTGGCTCACAAGAACGAAGTCAGCGTAAAACAAGAGGTTGATGATAACATGCAATTTCAATTCCGTTCTACGTAGATGTCAGTGATAGTTGCTAATAGGCCACAAACCTAGATTCAGGCACGTTGCTGAGAAGTCGGAGCATTTTCTCCGTTTCTCATTTGATTTAATGACGGAGACGGTAATAAATAGTGTACATAATCAGGCAGTAGCACGTAAAAGGACCTGGTTCACAACTGCATACATGAGATTGCTCAATCCCGAATTGTTTTTGGTACGTTCTGTCATACACGTGGGATAGTAGATCATCTTTTTTTAAATACTAATTTGTAAAGTTTATTTATCACTGAGCATTCAAGTCATTGCCAAGAGCAATGAGGGGAAAACGCACATCGCCACAGGCAAGTATTCTATTGTTTTATAACTCTTGTTTTTGTTTTGTTTTTTTCCCCTTTACAGGCTGCAAAATACAAGCTGGCGGCTCTGCCTGTGGCAGGTGCAGTCATTGGCGGAGTGGTGGGGGGTCCTATTGGTCTCCTTGCAGGCTTCAAAGTGGCAGGAATTGCAGCTGCACTTGGTGGTGGGATTTTGGGTTTCACAGGTGGAAAATTGATACAGAGAAGAAAACAAAAACGGATTGAGCAGGTCTCTTCCAGCTGTCCAGAGCTTTCTCGCCAAAGTGCCAAAAAATCCAACTGAAGTATAGATTCATTCTGACTAGGAACAAAAGTGTAGTAGCCGTGCTAATGACGGACTTGCAGCCTTATGCTTTAAATACAAGGCTGAGTTGTGTGAATTTTGACGACAGTACTGTTACTTGGGAGGGGTGAAACAGTAATGTCAGAATTTCTCTTTTCAGATGCGATAAGTGCCATCAGTCCTTTGAAAATTATATGGATAACTTTTAATTATAAAATTCTTAGGTGAGCTATATGCACAGCTGTAGTGATGGGTGACAGGTGCTTCATGCTAAATTTGCACAAAGTGTCTTGCAGACAATACAAAGAGAGATATTTGGAAAACCCTAGTACTTTCCCATGAACGCCACCCAGAAGCTGGAGCTTCTATTATAGAGCTCCAAAGAAAAGGAAGTAAGCTCCGTCTATTTTTCATGGTCATAGTACTTTAAATTTACTTTCATTTATCCGGATTCCTAAACTCCTCCTGTGTATACCCCCAGGACGCGACTGACTATGCCTGTTCAGTAACGCACAGGGAAGCGTTAGTTGCCATAGGAAAAGGTTAAAACCTTAACCTTAAGGTTAAGGTAGAAAAAACTCTTATGTACCTCCCACATCTGCCTCCATCAGCCAAATCAGATCAGCATCATAATCAGCTTTTCCCCTTTTTCAGGTACTTTTTTTTAAAATTTGTAAACTCCTCATCTTGTTAAAATTGTAGTTAAGAGTTAAACAGTCTAAGCAGCACCGCTGCAGGACTGCTACTGGAGAATAGTAATTTTCCACGGCTGTTCAACTCCTTGGCTTGTCCTGAGAGCACCGTACAGGATGAAGTGACAAGCTCTGGCATTCTGAGCCCGAAGCCTCAGCTTGCTTAAGCAGCGCTTACTGCTAGATGTTGCCCTTGCTTCTCATCTCCTGTCACCGACAGTGCTCCGGTGGTAGAGCCAAACGGCTTCCCTGGAAGGCAGTGCTGCAGCCAGGCCCACTCCCTCCGTAGTCTTTATTATCCCTCAAGGGTGGCGTTAGGCACCAGGTCAAAGGATGGTGAAGCAGCGAGGCCCTTTAAAGGGTGCTGGTGTCAGCTGACATCCCCAGATGATGGGACTGTTTTGAAAATGTCAACCCGATACCGCTTACAGTAAGCAAGCCATGCTTGTCTGGGTCAGCTGCACACCTTCTGCATGCTGTTCAGTTCTGAAACGTCTGCTTCCACCCGCACTGTAGAGTAGCTTCTCAGCCTTTCCAAGACTTTGGGACATGCTGTGGAGCCTGTATGGGGTGAGGTGCTGTTAGTGCTTTTGCTGGCTTTTTATAGGGGATGCCTGTTATTCTTAACCATCCTTATTTCGCTGCTTAAGAAGCCTTTTGCTTCTGAAACTTCCATTGTTAAATATGGGAGTGTTAACGTGTTTTTATTGTCACATAATCGTACTATTGTCACATAATCTACTGTTCAGCACATGGTCCTACCTCCATCCTTCCAGGACAGTTCCCACGCTTGCTGCTGCTGTTTGGGGGGAACAGAAATTGAGGTTGGGAAGCTGCTTTTTAAAGTTTTTAAATTGTTCAATTCAGCCCGAGCTCTGCTTGAGTCCAGTTTTATTAGTTGAACACTGAAGTCAGTGTTGAGTGATAAGGCTCCCTAGCAGGGAACACTGTGTAAGGAAGCATACTATAGAAAGAGCTCCCTTTTCTTAACCAGTACTTTGATATCATCATTGGAAATAACTGTCTGCTAATGACAGATGATAGGTTTTTGTGCCTAGAGACACTGTAAGCAACTGTTAGTTACAGCACAAATATCTTTTTCTGAACAGTTCTTTCTTATTACTTTTAAAATATGATTGAAATTGCTATCAGTCAGAGCATTGTGTCTATTTTAAGTAGGTCTGAGGCTCAGGGAAGCAACGTGTGCAGGATTAGTTTTCACAAGTAATTGCAAACATTGTCAAAACTGCATGTGTTAAAGTCACAGTGCCTACATCTGTAAAATCAGCTGGAGTGGAAAACATGACCCACGTAATTCAGCTCATTTGCTCCTGTCAGGCAAAAAGCGCTTTTCTTTAAATGTATCTACTTTGGATGTAAACACATTTAATGAGCTTGTAACAACTTCATACTAAAGGCTGTTCATTCCTTTGATATGTAATTAATTTCTACATTTAAAGGACAAAACTAAGAAAAAAAAGTGTTCTTAATTAGCAACTGCGGTTCATTCTTTGTATGATTTTAAAAAGCTATGTCTGCTTTCCTACTGGATGCTTCGAAACCTTGTGCATTTAAATGACAGCAGCCACATCAGACATTGAGGATTCCACCCTCTCCCCCCAAGCTGGACTAATGCCAGGACAATCTAAATTCATAAAACTGAATTTCTGCCACAGCTTATACAAATTCAGCTTGGTGTGCGCTCATTTTATGAGATGTCTAGCACAAAAACTATTCTCCCCTCCTTGCGTCTAAGGAAGCAATTTCAAAACATTGTGTACAACACTGGACTTGGGAGACTATTACTTAAGCTATGATTTTTTTAAAATAGATGCGTTATTTACATATGTGAAGAAACACGGGCATCTGAGTAACCGAACTAGCATTTAAATTGCTAGGCATGTTAGTCAGAAGAAATGTAGGATATACATAATTCTTTCAGACCAAATAAAAATTTTTGCCTATGAGACTGGTTGTAGTATTTATTGAGAACGTCGGGGTTTATTTCCTTTCAGCATCTAAAAGATTAATCCCTCACCAATTTTATATTATTAAAATAATTTAAGAATCCTGAATTGAGTTACCGAACATGTGCTTCAGCTATTGAAATATTGACATTGACTGAAATTAACACAAGTTCCTAAAATGTTGCATGCATCCAGTACCTCATACACATATGCTAGCTCACAAATGGACTCCTTAAGTTCAGTTAAAGAGAGTTTGGAATGGTTTTGTTCCATATGGGGATAACACTAATACTGTTTGACAACTTCCCATCAAAGCCTCGAGAAATGTTAAAGGGAGGGGTTAGCTGAGCACTGAATGGTTAAAGCCATTGACGTAGATGATCAGAATCGAAGGGCTCAATTTGAAACACATCTCGCATTTTGTCCAACACTTGCTCTCTAGGCAAATTCTCTATTTCATCAGATACTTCAAAAGTGCAGGTGATACTCAACATCGTGTTAGGCACACCTAGACTTTAGCTGTTCAGCCTCCGGTGAATACACGATGAAATGACTTGAGTGCGTAACTGTCATCTGTCTACCTAGTGCTGGGATCCCAAAGCTCTGGGAACAAGTCCTTGCTCAGAAAAGCAAACTTGGATGAAGGAATGGTGGAGGGGGTTCATCTCTTTCACTTTCTAGCTGAAAGCACCAGCCACTGGACTACTGGGTGTATGATGAGGTAGCATCCCTCTCCAGAAAGAGAAGTTTAGATGTCTTCCACCAAACAGCATTTATAAATAAGAATTCCAAGGGAAAATAGGAACCTCGGGGGAGTAAGATGAGTACTTGGAGGCACCATGCAGGAATTGACTAAAATTTCAGGTGCTTGAACAACTCCAGAAGTTCTGTAGCACCACCTGCAGATAACAAGTGGCAGCCTTAAAACCATACCCTGCTCACACCTTTGGATTCCAACTGGAAGGTGGTATGACTCAGCTGCCAAAAGTGCTTGAGAGAATGGTACAGGAGCAGACCTGGCTTTCAAGCCCTTAACGTGCACTCCAAAATGCAGATTCACAAAACCGACAAAAGTTATGCCTGTAAACAAAATCTTGCAATACTCTTTCGGCTACCAACTCGGCACCTGCTCAGTTAGCTGTAGCTTGGTGTTGGTTAGTACTAGCAACTCCCTCCTCAGAATCACCCCCTCAAAAGCTCACGTGCCTGTTGCTGCAGGGGCTTGATTCAGCAGCCTCTCTTGGGATCAAGGGATCACCTTTTACCACAGCTGCATGGGACCATGACAGTCTTCTGTCAATAACTGAGTAGGTGGCGTCTAGCTGAGAGGCAAAAGGAATCCTGAGCTGTGAACTGCAGAAGCTGGGGCACTCGCTGAAGTCAGCATGATCCCAGTGGTCCACCTATCCAAAGAACAAGCTTGCTTCGAAGGACACTAAACCTTGGGGGCCCAAGTCAAGGACCTGGATTCTTTGTAGTAACTGTACTGTACAAATCCAATACTAATTCGTCTCCAGCAATACACCCCAAATTAACAGGTATTTTTCCATCTTACAGTTTCTGTATGTTCATCTCACCAAGCAGCTTGAAGATTCACTGAGAAAAGCCCATATTCTGGTATTATGCACAACAGAAAGCCCACAAGGAGAGTAGTAATTCTTCTTCAGAGCAGAATTCAAAGAATATGCAATAAATAAGGCACAAGCCAGACAAAAAGAGTAACAAAAAGTTTGCAGTGGTTGTTCAGAAAGTAATGTGTCTGCTAGGAAGGCAGGGACCCAAAGAAAAAAAAGAAAAGACTAATCGTAACACATACATACAGAGATTAATTTAAGACTGACAAAACTAAGATGGCAGTCCAGCCCTAGTCCTCTCCTACTTTGAAGGGTTTCCAACTTCCATGTTCTTTTAACACAACCATGTGGATAATGTAACAATCTTAATAATTCCAGGAAATCAGAGCAGGTCAATACAGCCCTTTCATTCAAAGTACAGCCATTACCATCAAAACTTTTCCTTTCCTCGCTTGGTATTTTAATAGTCAGAATTGTTTAATCGCTTGGACATTTACACCCAGTGAAGACCACACGAGATTCTGTAAAACTTTAATTTATTCCCCTCCCAAGTATCCAGAATAGAAGACCCTCTTAAGTTGGAGAAAAACGTGACAAAGAAATAGATTACCAGGATAGCTGTTCACATGAAGGAGGAGAAAAAGCACATACTACCGAGGTTACACAGAAAACAACCCAAAAGTCCTATTTAATGTGATAGTGCAAGTTAACAGCATGTCTCTGGCAAGGATACCTTCATTTGGATTATAAAAGTTTTACAGAACAGAGTTAGATCAAGAGTCTGGATGGGTCTCTGATATTTTACTATAGCATTAGGAACGTACTGTTTGAAAGATGCTGTACAGAATGACCCACCAAACAAACGTATTTACAAGCCTGGGGAGAAAGAAATTATTTTTCAGTTTATTCAAAATAAAAATACACATAGAATTATGAAAATATAGGTTTACTATTTCCACCACACAGAAGTCAATGCTGCTGTCTGAAAGGCTTGCAAGATTATTTCAAGTTTTTAAAGTTCATCTTTTTCCCTCAATAAGGTGTACCTATGTTCACTGGGTGCCAGTTTCTGGAATGAGCTCTCTGGTGGGCTGCTTGCTAAATCCTGAATTGGCTGAAAAACAGAACAAACAGTAAAAATGCTTGTTAGCCTCATTTTAATAATCAAGCACCTCCATTAAATGAACTTCTAACATTAACTATGGGAGTGCATGAACGTCCAGCATTCTCACAAATTGAGGTTTTGGGGTTTTTTTGGAATGCACATTCCAAGTCCCAAGCAGGTGGAATACACACATACATCAATTAATTAAGCACCATCAGTTAAGGATATTCCTTTTGTTGGCACATCTCAAAGGTAACGGCCATCACACAAGTTTCTGTACAAGGGACTTAAAAACATTTCAAACGTACCCCATTGTAGATTTGTTTGGGTCTATCTACCACTTGCTTTGAAGGTATTCTGGTTTGTGTGTTTGTTTTTGAGATACACCAGGGCAAAAAATGCCATCGCTGCCAAAATACTTTAGAATTCGTTTTTTATGGAAACTAAAAAACCCCAAACAAACATGCAATTCAAGGGACATACGTGACCTAAGACAGCAGCCTCCAGTTTAGTTAAGGCCAGTATTTCCATCGCACATACATACACATCTTCCACAAGATGGCAGGATGCCATACGGAGATGAGAAAGTAAACATCCCAGGTTTTGTGTGCATTTTTCAAGGCAGAATGGAGACAAGAGCAAGCCTGCAGCTCTAGGCAATGAGGTTGTGCCCAGATAGGCAGCAGGATCCAGGGACTCAGCAGGCTTCCTTCCCTCCCTGGCCAAGCCTCCTCCAGATTGCAGTTGCCTCAGAGTGTCTCTTCCCCACGCACGCCTGTCTAGCTCTGAGCTGACCGACTGCCTGGCCTATGCCTCAGTCTCCAGCCCTGTTCTCTGCGTCTCCTGTTGACCTGAATTCTAGTTGCTCAATGAATTCCTGAGAAACACAGGGAGTTACCAGTTAAATGAATTACTGCTGAGACAGTTCAGCCCTCGTGTTTTCACAGCCAGTCATGACAACATCCAAAAGCAGTCATTCTCCTGGCACAAGGCAAGCCCTCCAGGGCTTTCACACTTTCAAATCTTTCAACTTTGAGCAGGGCAACAGGAGGCTGCACTCGCACGGCTTAGTGCAGAACCACCCTTACCACATCCCACAGATGACCAGGAAAATGAGCCTGTAGCCATAAATCGTTTCTGTCCCTCACCCATGGGTTCTGGGATGGCCCAAGGCACCCCAACACAAGTGCAGCGGGTCTCCTCTGGGATCAATGCGGCTCTTTGAGCCCTAGATAATGCAACGTATAACTTAAAAGTAAGTGTTTAAAAACAGTTCTTTCTTTAGAGAGGGCCAGAGGTAATGAGAAGGTTACCTGACAGGCTGTTACGTTTGCACTTTTCAGCATGACACCAAGCATATGAGCTGAGCAGTGTATCAAGAAGATACAAGGCTGATCAAGACACGGTTAGAAGACTGGGCTGAACAGAGGGAATTGGGGCTGGTAATGTCCCTTCCTTTCTGCTTCTTGTATTAAACTAAACACTGAGGTGCTCCTGAGTTTTGTCTAGAGAAGGATCTAGTAGTTGCGTTCCTGAAGAGATCCCAGGAGTGACTTCCAGGCATGTAATTATACAGCATGACAACCTTTGAGCAGAACAGTGACAAATCCAAACTGACAAATGCAGTCTGTGACCACTATTAATGCTGCTTGTTAACTGCATTACTAAAAGTAATAAGCCCTATTACCGCTTTTCAGTCCTTTGTTGATGCTCTAACATCTGCCTCCTGCTTGGATTGGTGACCACGAGTAAATATATAAAACATTCAGTCAATTGATGTTTCCCCTTAGAAGCACCCGCTCATAGTGTGTCGTGTAGGAAATAACGCATCTATGACGTATCATCAGTTTTTGCATTGAAATCACATGAGAACATAAGAGCAGCTCTATGAGCTCAAGGCAGGCATCTGGCCCAAGATCTTCTGTTTCAGTGGAGAAAACATATATTCTTATACTATTCCTTTATTCAAGGCAAACAGGTACCACACTTCCCCCTAATGCTCTCCCTGCCTTTACTCAAAGGAAGTTAAAGGAAGAGCCAAGCAGGAGTGGCAATGTTATGCTTCTATAAACAGATTTCTCTTTCAGGAGACTGAAGTTAAAGGTACACACGTTAGAAAGTACAGCTCTGACAAGGAGTAAAAAAAAAAAAAAAGAAAAAGAAAAAAAGAAAAAGGGTCTTTATTAAATGGCCAAATTAAATGTATTTGTTGTAACCTTACCTGACCAGGTGCTACATCAGTTGGATCAGGGCCATGATGAAACTCTCTATGCAATTTTCCAGAATGCAAGTCTAGTACAAATTGCTTCAGTTTACCTGGAACTCTGGAACAGATCC